AAAAAAAAAAAGTGCATTGTGCTGTCTGACTGCAGACAACGTATTTTCGCATATCAAGCAAGGCCAGGTCGCGACCCTGTCTTTTCTGCTTTGGGCAACAAACGGGTGACCAGTGTGACCCGCAGGTGCCATATAAATGCAAATTCACGTACGTAAAATTTGCAGAAGTACGTGCTAGTGTGAGTATGCCCTCACAGTAGGCCCCCAAACTCGCAAAATCACAAAATGAGCAGCCAGATCGAGTCCTTGTCAAGGAAGGACTGGATCTGGCCGCTCATTTTTGGATTTTGCGATTTTCACAGATTATCATTTCCGTTTTTTCTTTTTTTTTCTTTTCTTTTTCTTTTTTTTTCTTTTTTTTCTTTTTTAAAGTTTTTTTTTTTTTTTTTTCGTCTTTTTTTTCTCCTTTTTTTCCCTGCCGGATGTCTTTCCTTTTATTTATTTATTTTTATTTTTTTTGGCAAACATCGGCAACAGGGAGTAGAAAATAGTAGAAAAATCACGAGTTCAATCATCACATGAGTCTTGAAACAGCAAAGTCGAACCGCACTTTTTTTTTGGCAAACATCGGCAACCGGGAGTATAGGGAGTGCTGATAAGCCCAGACACTGCCTCTAACTCGCATGCTTGGATGGCTTTGTTCCATTGGTGGGGAGCTGCACCTACTGGAAATCGGGTCCAGCGTCCCTTGACATCATATGCCAGAGCCTAAAACAAATCAGTTACTTGAGTCATTCCTTTCTCCCTGTCCTCCACTTATACTCACCTTGTAGTGCTCTGTATTCAGCATCCTTGGTTGCACAAAGCCTCTCTAAGTCCGCAATCCGTGAAAGGTCTTCAGGTCGAGGCTCTCGCGCATCGAAACGTATCTGAAGTCGATTGGATTTGATTTAATGATCGGTTATGAACGAGGCCACAGATGAACCATAGTATCCAAACCACAAACAATGAACAAATGATTCCGAAGAGAACGGAAATGATTGGAAAAAAAAAAATGTCAGTTTCGGATTTCCGTATTTATTACTGTTTTCACTATTAGTCAGCAACGGGATTACATGAAATGAAAGATAACCCTTCAAGGACATTTTTTTCTTTTTCCTTTCTTTTTTTTCATTGTTTCTTTTTTTTATGTGATCCGATGGACCAGGGATCAGATATTAAACTGATCAGTTCAGAACAGATATACTACACCTGGGGCTAGATCCCACTAGCAAAGAGGATAGGATCGAATACCTGAATCTGGACGTGTTTGTAAACAGGTGCAGGAAATCGAGATTGAACTGCTTTTCTGCATCTCTGCATAAAACAGATCCAGATTCAGGCATTCGATCCAATCCTCTTTGCTAGTGGGACCTCGGCCCTGATCTTAGCCAAAAGGCCAATTGGTTTCGCATCATCGCTAGATTTTTCGCGTAGTATTCAATACCGAGCGCCACCAGGTCCTGGTCTTTCTGCTGAGGATGACCTGCGGAGCTATATTTTCCAGGCACGGGGAAAAGGGAATCCCTTCTTCAACTTGCAACTTGCCTAAAAGCTTTTTATCCCCTGGCCTTCCTGCTATCCCTGCTGCTGGAGGGAAGAGGCGGACGCCTCTCGTCTTCCATTTGGCTGTCTGATAGCCGGTGCGCTGTTGTCCTCTGCATTGCAGCATTGCGGCTTGTCTGTGGACCCATGTGACGTTCCGGCCAGGCTGCGGATACCGCTTGCGCTGCAACTGCTGCATCTTGCTTGTTCCCCATTTGATTGGGGGAGCTTAGTCTGAGGGTGTGAGGGAGAGGAAGAGACATGGGGCCACCTCAGCTGGCTGGGAGGAGGGAGCAGAGGGTAGGGTCGGAGGAGTGACGGTAAGGAGGGGTTGGAAGAGGAGGGAGTGGGGGGGGGCGAGGAAGAGCGGTTGGAAGAGGAGGGAGGGGGGGGCGAGTAAGAGCGGTTGGAAGAGGAGGTGGTCCTGTGTAGGAGGGGATCCTGCATGGTAGTCAGAGTCTGGAGACAGGGGTAGAGGAGGGGAGGGGAGGATGGAGGAAGAGAGGTTGGAAGAGGAGGGGGTCCTATGTAGGGCTAGAGTGAAGGGGAAGTCAGTCTGGGCGGGAGGGAGGGATCGGGAGAGTCGGGGATGGGAGGGGAACCCAATGATTATGGGATTGGGAGGGGGGAGGTGCATTATTGTGGGCCAAGGGGGGGGAAGGAGGGGGAAGGAGGGGGAAGGGGGGCCGGAGAAGGTGGACGGGGCTGGCTGTGGAGGAGATAGAGGGTGTGCGGGGGTGGGGGGGGTATGTCCTTGCTGGATATTTGTTCCCTAGCCTCATACTTGAATTCCACTATCACTTTGGTTTTGCCCCCGGCGAATGGGGCGAAGAAGTCAGATTGTGGTCGTCTCTTCCATCTTTCCTCTTCTCATGACCATATCACGCATGATGTGCTATCTTTAATCAGTAAGAACGTTTTGCATTAATTGATTGATTCAATAATGATCTTATATGATTAAGTCAAATCCTATTAGATGTTTTTTTTATATGATCAAATTTAAAGCAATGTTAATGTAATATGTTTTATATCAAATTTGGCCTCGGCCTTTAAATCCCTCCGTCCAACCCTGAGGGCGTTAGCGGCCCTGTAAGAGGTTTGGAATAAAATTTCCTTGAGCCTTAACTTACTATCTGAACAGAGGACCACTCGGGATGTCATTATGAATAACCCTAACACCCCAACCGTTGTACTTGATGGTTTACATTTGATGAACTTATTTCATAATACGCTTATAAATGTAAAGTAATTTTTTTTTTATGATTTACAACAAATTGTGTGATCCTGTGAAGCATGTCTACCTAGTTTGCCAGAGTGGGTCGAGACCACTTGCCCAGATAAACCAAAAAAAGTTAAAATTTACAATTTTTTTTTATTTTATTTTTTTGGTAAAAAAAATCAATGTGACCCTGAGGTAAAGTATTACACCGCTGCAGATAAATTGCAGTGAGTTAGTTTATTCATCAAAAGAACAGTGAACACTCTCAAGCTACAAGAGCACCCGATGTAGTTAAACTTTCACACTCAAAAACGAAACTCACGCTTCAAAGAAAAAAAATAGCAAGAAACACTGACAAAGCATCATGCAGACCCTCGTTATTCTACATTTTGGCGCTCCCCGACGCCGTTTTGACCGAAGCCATATTCAGTCATCCTCAGGGGGATGTTTCGAAATCAGAAAGAGACCTTACTTCTACAACCTATCCTATTAATAGCTACTTCCGCCCTGGTTCCGGGGTCTTACATTTGAAGGTCCTACCACCAACGAAAATGTTTTATAGAAAAGTATTTCTTCTTCTAACGCCAAAGTCGTATTTTCTCGGCCTCTGAAAAACATAATTTTATGAAAACCTTCACATTCATTTGGTCCGTAAATATAGAGGGGTTTCCTATAAAACTATGACAGCGAAAGGCTAAGAAAGGCTACGAGAAAACAAACATCGAAGTTTATCCTTCTCGTGAACAAGCACACACATCAACAACGAATACTAGCTAAAGCATATCGTATTCGACAGAGCAAAATACGTCAAAGAAACAACGTATCAAAAGAGAAACGACTTATCGAAAAATCGTAGTAGTACAACCTTCCAGGGGGTTTCCAAGTACCCCCCGTACACCTCTTCAAGTTGTTTTCATTACCTTTGAATGACTCTTTCGGTCCAGTTTGGGGCGTGCTTCCAAGTACACCCTTGAAGAGTTTTCGCAAAAACATTTGCAGATTAGTCTTGGTGTCTCAACTCGCTTTTCAACGTGAACCTGAGGCAAAAGTTTTTCAATTTATTTTTTTGCATAACATAGTTTTTCTTTAGGGGGTACGGGGGGGACCTTCTTTGGTCTTCGCGTGTCCGGGACGCCTGCGAAAACAGGGTGATCCGGGTGGTTCGACTAGTAGCCTAGGTTTCTATCTAGGCTACCAGAGTGGGCATGAACCACTTGTCTGAACGGACAAAAGTAAAATAAAGTAATAATAATAATTTTAATTTAAGTCTTTAAATTTGGATAAAAAAATTGTATATGAGTATGAGCGAAAAATTGTTTAGTTTATATTTCTGTATAACATGTTTTTTTTATAGATTTTTTTGATGTTTTATATTTTTTGTGTTTTTTGTTGGGATCTTTTTCGACCCTTGCACGATTGGGACGCCCGGGCAAACAAGGTGACCCGGACCGCCTACATAATCGATTAGTTAACCCATTAAATGAAATAAAATATATTTTAAAAGTTTATATTTTTTATCTAGGCTACCAGTCGGGTCGTCTGAGTCACCCTGTTTTCTAGGGCGGCCTCGTCGTGCAAGGACCATAGAATGGCCAAAAAAATAAATAAAAAGAAGTTCAAAAAAATTATGTTATGCAGAAAAATAAATTGAAGAACTTTTGCCTCAGGGTCACATCAAAATGCTTTACTAAATTTAAAGGTTTTGGGGGGCGAGCTGCATGACGGGAAACTGTCAAGTGTGGTTTTGAGGGCAGACGTTCTACACTGACCCCTATCCTACATCATGATATTTTTTTTTTTTTTTGGTGATTCTGATTTTCGTGTTATGGATGTTGGTTACTGAGTTATATGCCCATGCTTAGAAAGACTTGAACTCTCAACCTCCAAATCCGTAGTTTGGTGCTCTATCCAATTGAGCTACAAGCACATTCATTCGTCCCTTTCGTCTAGGGGTATAGGACATCGCTTTTTCATGGCGAAGACACGGGTTCAGTCAATGAATAACTGTCTTGACGCCAGCTTTGGCTGGATTTAGGCTCGCTAGAGTTCAGATGCAAGAGGTGAATAACGGGAGTTGAACCCGTGTTTTCAAATTCACAATCTGACACATTGACCTATTAAGTTATATTCGTCGTGGTCCCGACTCGCTCGAACCGACAAAGTGTTTTAGTCTGTCGTGTTAAACAAATTAAATAATTCATTTTATATTATTTTGTGTGCCCCGGTTCGACGTGCGGTCCTGGACCACGCTGGTAGTTTTTTGTTTTATTTCTAGTATTTATTAATTTTCATAGAAATATCTAGCATTAGTATTCATGATGATGAGGAAATTGCATGTGCGTAAAACATGCATTATCATATGTTTGTGATGTACAAATTTATTTTTAAGTAAATGCATATAAAAGCAAATCACATATTTTTCACATATCTGCACATATTTGTTGTATGTGAAATCATACACGTATTATGTTTGCAATTCAATGAACATTCTGCACATATAAAGTGGTGCAAATGTATATGTGTATACATGCATTTAAACAACTAGTTCTCCAACCGCAATTGGAGTTGTGGTGACGTATGTGTTGGTTGTAAAATAGGTTAATGTATCAGTGGCATGCACTAGTATGTAAAATTTTCAGTATGTTAACTTTTAAAGTTATTGCATTTCCAATTGATGAAAAATTATTAGAAAAAATCTTTCGTAGATTGAGTGTTGTTCGTGTTACACAAACTTCAGAAAACTATGAGCAATTTTAAGATATAAAAATCAAATGTGAAAATAAAACTTCATATATTTTTTTTTATTGTTACCAAATCTTGTTATAAGATGTTTGTAACCACCAGTACTTGACCCATACATCGGTCGCGGGCGTTGTCGTTAACGCCCCGCAACTTCCGGAGGCTCGGGGTACTGGTCCTCAAAGGCTGGCGTCGCCAGCCAAAACAATTTTTTCTTGTTGCGTTGGCGGGTCGGCACAAAACGGCGCACAACCCGTTTTCAGGCTTGACATCGATAGCTGGGCCAAGTACTGGTGGTTTAAGTATTTGTTCTTATTGATAGACCCAAAAGGAAAGTGATGGTTCAATTCAAGTGTATACATATTTTTTATGCAAAGCGGGTTTTTTACTGCATTGTAAACTTTGGACCGGACTGGGCTGCGAAACAACAGTTTGAAATGCATTTAGAAACTGCTTTTGTGAGTACACCCTGGTTACCCCTCTTTTTTTTGTAAGAAAGTTTTTCCTTTTTCTTCTTGTTCTTTTTGGGTAAACCAAGCTATATTATTATCGCAATTTTACCTTTCATTACCTACCTACCACTACTCCTAAGCCTATACAGAGGACCCCTGCAAGCATAGCTACCTTTCCCAATCAAGGGGATGCATGTTGCCCCCCCCACATAATCGGTGGTGGTCAGGGAGTAGGGTGAGGCTGCCGGTGGGGGGGGGGCTGGCTAGCACAAAAACCAAGCATTTTACCAGTAGCTGCGCCTCCCATCTACTGGCAAAATGCTTGTTTTTTATGCTAGCCATACCCCCCCCACCGGCAGCCTCACCCTACTCCCCCCGTCGAGTAACGACACACACACACACACACACACGCGCGACCAGGGGGAGCAGGCCAACTATTTCAGTTCGTTGCCAGTAAGAGTGTCTGGGCGGCCATTGGAGATTGAACCCATGACCTCTTGAATGCCACTTGCATGAGTAACCAGCTGTGCTAGGCAACTTGCTCTCACGGATACAAATAAAGAACAAGAAATGGTCCCCCCCCAAAAAAAAATGTAAATGCAACCTACAAGTAGAACCACTATTTAGGAACTATATTTTGAATGCTATTGCTGTCTGCCGATCCCCCTTAGGCCCTATGGCAGCCTAGACTAAAACACACTATCTTGGGCCAGTTGGATAGAGTAGTCAGCCTCCTGTCCTGACAGGTTGACGTGCTAGTGGACAGACCATGTGTTGCTGTAAGTTAAGAGGAACACCATCAGCAAGATGGTCCTAATTGCCACTGATTTCATCTTCAATTTGTTGAATATACCGGTCGAATATATTCTCGAATATCCAGCAGTCTAGCTTTGTCGGTAAGGCAGGCAAGTGGCATGCAGAAGGTCTTGGGTTCAATGGCCATTGGCCTCATATATACCGTTCTCGTCAAGCTTATGGGTCGTTGGTTCCCCTGAGTGGCATTGACATTGAGCAGAGACTGGTGATGTTCATAGGCGGAGGAGACTGGAGAGGGTGCACAACGACCACCCCATAGAAAAAGCTCGGTCAGTCGGCAACCCTGAATCACAAGGACTCTGTAACCATAGAACAACCATTTCGTCAAAACAGACATATTATATTTTTTGAACGAAATTAAAATTGAGTTTTTGGGCCGAAATCCAGTCCAAAATTTTGGCTCCTGGGGGTCCGGCGTTCCTAGAACGTCGGACCCCCTAGATATATCTAGTCTCAAGCTGTGACCAGTTAGATCTAGGACGCTGGACCCCCAGGAGCCAAAAATTTGGACCAAATTTCGCCCCAAAAACTCAATGTTAATTTCGTTCAAAAATTATAATATGTCTGTTTTGACGAAATGATTGTACCCGTAGTTGTATCACATGAAGCCACCCAAGAAAGCGCATGAATGAACTCGTGGACATGAAAATCCGTTGTTTGAATGGTCATTGCCCGTAATTGTATCAAACGTGCATGCAAATGAACATGAAGCCACCCAAAAAAGTGCATATGCATGCAAATGAACGTGAAGCCACCCAAGAAAGTGCATGAATGAACTCCCTCCTCCTCCCGGAATCAGTCCCGAGGGGTCTCAGCAGTCCGGCCGCGGGCCCCATCTGGCCAAAACCAAGTCCCGAAAAGAAGGGTGCACCCCTCCCTCCTCCTACCGGAATCGGTCCCGAGGGGTCTCAGCAATCCCGCCGCGGGCCCCATCTGTCAAAAACCAAGTCCCGAAAAGAAGGGTGCACCCCTCCCTCCTCCTCCTGGAATCGGTCCCGAGGGGTCTCAGCAGTCCCGCCGTGGCCCCCATCTGGCCAAAACCAAGTCCCGAAGAGAAGGGTGCACCCCTCCCTCCTCCTCCCGGAATCGGTCCCGAGGGGTCTCAGCAGTCCCGCCGCGGGCCCCATCTGGCAAAAACCAAGTCCCGAAAAGAAGGGTGCACCCCTCCCTCCTCCTCCTGGAATCGGTCCTGAGGGGTCTCAGCAGTCCTGCCGCGGGCCCCATCTGGCCAAAATCAAGTCCCGAAGAGAAGGGTGCACCCCTCCCTCCTCCTCCCGGAATCGGTCCCGAGGGGTCTCAGCAGTCCCGCTGCGGGCCCCATCTGGCCAAAACCAAAAGAAGGGGCCACCCCTCCCTCCTCCTCCCGGAATCGGTCCCGAGGGGTCTCAGCAGTCTCCCCTCTGGCCCCATCTGGCCAAAACCAAGTCCCGACGGCGGTTACCTATCGTAAATTGGGCTTGCTGGGTGTACCAACTGAGCTATTGGTAGTCCCGCTCCCGCTCAAGGGGACGAAAAGAGACCTTTGAGGGCATTTTTTTTTGGTAGTCCTCAAAACAGACCTTTGAGGGCATTTTTTTTTGGTAGTCCCGCTCCCGCTCAAGACCTTTGCATGGGCTCTTCTACCAGTTCTACGTAGTTCGTAGTCCCGCTCCCGCTCAAGGGGACGAAGGTTCAAATCCCGACCACGACGGCGCGCTTTGAGAGCCTCGAGCCTGGTACGGGCAAGGAAGCGCGTGCGGCGGTACTTAGGGTTTGCGACCAATTTCGGCATTCCCTTGGGTCGGCGTCCCCGTGGGGGGCAGCAGCAGCAGCAGCAGCAGCTTACGTCTGAGAAGGACACTAGCGCGTTTTTCTATTGAGGTCTGTCTCTTTCCTCTTCCTCTTTTGGCCATCACCATTGCTATCTATCTATAACTCACCGAGGTGTGAAGAGGGTCCTTTTCCCCCCCTCTCTCTCTCTCTGTGTCTTCTTCCTCCATTTCTCTCTCCGTTCGTCCGCAAGCTTGCCGCCGCCATAGCCAGAGAGAGCTGAGAGAGACGGCCGGGCAAGATGGCCATCGCTGAGCCGCAAGCGGATGTTAAGCTCTTTGGTCGATGGAGTTTCGACGATGTGGAAGTCAGCGACATCTCTCTTCAGGACTACGTTGCTGTCGGCCGCAAGTACAACATCTTCGTTCCTCACACCGCTGGCAGATACCAAGTCAAGCGGTTCCGTAAGGCCCAGTGTCCCATCGTTGAGAGATTAACCAATTCCTTGATGATGCATGGGAGGAACAATGGCAAGAAGTTGATGGCTGTGAGGATTGTCAAACATGCAATGGACATAGTCCACCTTTTGACCGATCAGAACCCGATTCAAGTTGTCGTTGACGCTGTGATTAATAGCGGGCCGAGGGAAGATGCTACTCGAATTGGGTCTGCTGGAGTTATCAGACGTCAAGCCGTTGATATCTCTCCCCTCCGGAGAGTGAATCAGGCCATCTATCTCATCACGACGGGGGCGCGGGAAAGTGCATTCCGTAATGTCAAGACCATTGCAGAGTGTCTGGCGGATGAGTTGATTAACGCTGCCAAGGGGTCGTCCAACAGCTACGCAATCAAGAAGAAGGACGAGATTGAACGTGTAGCTAAGGCCAATCGTTAAACAAGAAGGCGGAATAATGTCTACTCTCCCTCATTCTTTCCCTTTTTCTCTCTCTCTCTCTCTGTATTTCTTTCTGTGTCTTCCCCTTGCTCTTCTGGTGTGCTCTCTCTCTGTCTCTCTTCGTATCTTCTTTTGTTTCTCTTTCTCCTTCTCTTTCTCTCTGGACCTCTACTCTCCCTCTTTCTTTCTCTCTTTCTCTCCCTCTCTCTCTGTTTCGTTCTCTTTCTTCCCTTTGCTCTTGTGTGGTGCTCTCTCTCTCTCTCTCTCTCTCTCCTTTTCTCGTTCGTCTTGTTCTCTCCTCTCTCGCTCTCTCTCTCCATTTCGCTGCCTTCCGGCGTCATCATCAGAGTGTGTGGCTTCTGAGTGCGGCGGCGGGTTTGTCCCTCTTTTCTCTTTGTTCCTCCTTGCTCTTCTTGTGTGCTCTCCCGCTTTCTCTTCTCTCTCGCTCTCTTTTCCATTCGCTTATCTGCCTGAATCATCATGAGTGTGTGGCTTATGAGCGCGGCGGCGGCTTTTGCCCTTCACATCGCAATGTGTGCTTTCCCCTCTGTCCTCCTATGATCTGTTTCTTTGTCGGTCGCTCTTCTTCATCGATTACATCCGCCGCCTTTGCCGGCGGCTGCTGGTAAGTAGGCTTAGGGTGATATCGGTAGTGCTCCTGTTCTCTCTCTTTCTCTCTCTCTTTCTCCTCTCTCTCTGTCTCTCTCTCCCTTTCTTTTTCCCTTTTTCTCTCTCTCGAGATGGCTATGTGATTGATTCCTCGGTTTCGCCGAAACCGCGTCCCTCCTTAAATTCTGGGATGCCTTTTGAATTTGCAGCCGTAATGTAGACTGTTGGCTATTGTCCTCCGAGCCTTTTCTTTTTCTGTTTTCCTTGTTCGAATCTCCCTCCTTCCCTTCGAGATTTGTCGATGTCCTCCGCTCTCCCTCTTTTCTCTTTTTACATTCTGCTGTCAATGTCTGACTCTGTCAGTCTGTCTCTGTCTGTCTGTCTTTCGAATTTGCAGGCGTAATGCCGAGCTTGGCTTGTCTCTGGTTTGTCGGAGCTTTGTTTTTTTATTATTTATTGTTCTATTGTTTGTAGAATCTCTCTCCCTCTCTCTCCCTCTCTCTCCCTCTCTCTCCCTCTCTCCCTCTCTCTCTCTCTCACTCTCTCCCTCTATCTTTCTCTCTCTCCCTCTTTCTCTCTCTCCCTCTTTCTCTCTGCCTCCTGTCTGTCTGTCTGTCGGTCTGTTTGTCGGTCTGTCCTTTCGAGTTTCCGTGGTTTTGTGGAGATTTCGATAAGTCCTTTTTTGCTGGTCCATGTCCTCTTGAGTGAGAGACGGCGGCGGCGGTGGATGTGTTTGATTCGGTGAATGAGGAGTGTGTGTGGGTAACGAACGAAGAAGAAAATGTGTTGCGAACGACGTGTGCCATTTTTTTTTTCCTTAACAGATGAAGAGTTGTAATGCGACGGAATGCTTTTGGTGCACGTGTCATTCCCACGCCGCTCCTCTTTTCCTAACCTGGTTAATGTATTATTTCACGTTTTTTTCTTTTTCTTTTTTTCTTTCCTTCGTATGATCCAACATCTGGATTCGAACTTGTCTGTATTTCAACGGTGCATTGCATGTGTTTTTTTTGTGATTTGTATTCTCTTCGTTTTTATTTGGATTTTTTATTTTTTGATTTGTATTCTCTGTTCGTTTGCATTTGGAATGTTTTTTTTTTTGTGATTTGTATTCTCTCTTCGTTTGTATTGCATCCGTCGACACGTAGCAAGCTGGGGGTGTATCCTTGTTTTGTTTACTCGTTTGAGCTTTTGTTTTTTGTTTTTGCTTTTGCTTTTGTTGGAGGCGTTTTCACAGGATCTGTCGACAATCTCTTGCTTCAAGAGTTCGGGCCATCAAAATCCTGGCAGATTTTTTTTTTTTTTTTTTTTTTTCGTTTGCCACATAATTCAAAAGGCGGACTTTTTCTTGTTTTTAACCGTGGCCTTTTGTGTTTGTTAATTAATGGAAGTAAAAAGAAATTTAAAAACGAACGTCTTGCCTCTCCTGGTCATCCTTCTCTTCCGTCTCCCCCTTACCGCTACCGTCTTCCCCCGAATGGAACGTACGCTCATCATGGCCGTATCTAGACTGAAAGCTGCCCCTAATGAGAAGGTTTTAGCCAAAGCACTGGTAAACTGTTCCCTGGACGGAAATGTAACCCCCCCCCCTTCTCCCCCCTTCCGCCCCCCCCCTTTCGCTCACCCGCCCTCTTCCTTTCTCTCTCTCAGTCCCCCATCCTATGCTGGTCTATGTTGTATTGAAGAGGGGATCATAGAAACCTGTTGTGTGCGCTTTGACTCACAATCGACTTTGCATGGCCATTAACCGTCTTCAGCCGAGTACAACGTACTGTCATTATTGCTATATCTAGACTCAAGGTTGTCCAAATACAGCTATAAAGCCGTTTGTTGTATTCGGGTGAAGACGGTTTAGGGTTTTCGTTGCTGAAAGGGCGACGGCCTTGAGGTATCATCATTGGCCTGGCCTGTCCCAGGTCGCTAAGAATTATTTTATGCCTGCTTATCTGATTGCATCTGGATCCGAACTTGGGTCTGATTCATATTTCAACAGTTCATTGGGTGTACCGACTGAGCTAGTGCCGGCGGGGATCATGCCTGCTGACGTTTTGCCATTTGTGGCTCCCCCACTTCTTAACCCTATTTTTAATTTTTTTTTTTTTTTTCAAGTCGGGACCTTGAGTTGCAAAAAAAAAAATCCAAAATATGATTTTTAAATTTAATTGTAGTAGGTACGCGTGTTGATCAGAAAAAAAAAGATGTGGTTTTGGTGGTCGGCTATTTTTTTTATAATTTATTTTTTTCACCGCGATTTTTAAAATTTTTGAGGTTAACGGAATTACGAGTCTTCATCAGGAGGTCTTTTACCAGTGCCCCTTTTTTTTTTTTTTTTTTTTTGGGGCCAGTTCGACAGTCCGGATGCTCACTACTGGCGAGCATCGCAGATTGCATTGTGTACGTTGGGCCGCGCTGCATTCCTCTCGAAATGTGCAAAATGAGAATGAATCTTCCGCTAGAAGATGGAAAGATACATCGGAATGTTGTCTTTCGTGCATTTTTTTGAGAGTAGTGGAGCGAGGCCGATTGTCATTTGTGTTTGGTTTAGGGCTGAGCTGTGTTTTGGGATTTACTCCTACCAACAGGGGTACGATCGGTCAAACCGACATCTGAATGTTCTGGGCTGAATCTGGACGTTTGTATCGGTCATGTACATTGAGGGGATTTGTCGTTTGCGCGCTTTTTACTCTATAATATAATACATGCTCGATTTCAGTCTGGGATGAATCTGGACGTTCGCATGCTATCTTGGACAGATGACCGATTGGTGCGCGTTCTATTCGGGGGAAGGGCGTCAATGTGAGGCCCCAATAAAAGACGTTTGCTATGATTTTTGGTCCCGATACATTCAAATTTTGCAACTGTCCGAATGAATCTGGTCCACTTCGCTGACCAGATCCATGCAGAATGTCGAGTATGGGTGACGGCGCCTATTTATGATGCCAATACCCCCCCCGTCTGAGAACCACCTACGAATCTTCAGGGAGAATTCATCTCGGACACCGCTGCGTAATTCTGGTTTATCTGTTGGCATGCTATGTTTTGGACAGATGACAGACGCGTGCGTTCTATTTGGGGGAAGGGAGGGGGGTCAATGGGAGACTGGGAGTGCATCACACAGAGACATTTCTGTTTTTAGTGTGTGTCATTATGCAGAGGTGTCCATGAATTCTCTGTGAAGATTCGTAGATGGGTCTCTGACGGGTGCTAACGCGAACGGTCTTCTTTCGAATAGAACGCACGGGCAGTAATAGACTAAGTTCAGTTTTTCCATTTTCGGCCCGTCTTCGTTGTGCGTACCACCGCCTTTCTTCTCCGAATAAAACGCATGGGCGTCGTGAATGTATTACGTGTTGAAAGTCGACTCGATTCAGAACAGAATTAGTACTCCCTTGCGTAATAATTTGGGAGCAAAGAGATATGGTAGGAGTGGTTTCGTCAAGAGAAAATCGTCCCCAGCACGAAAAACGTTTCTCCGGAATAGAACGCCCGGTCATTTTTTTTGACCTGTATTGGGGCCAGCTTTTACGTCTAGATACAGCTACAGAACGCCCGGTCATTTTTTTTCACCTGTATTGAGGGCAGCTTTTACGTCCAGATACAGCTACAGAACGCCCGGTCATTTTTTTTGCATGTATTTGGGACAACTTTTACGTCTAGATAAAGAGATAGAACGGCCGGTCATTTTTTTTCACGTGTATTTGGGGTAACTTTTACGTCTAGATACAGAGATAGAACGCCCAGTCATTTTACGTGTATTTGGGCAGCTTTTACGTCTAGATACAGAGATTGCAAACGAGGGGAAAGGATGTGACCTACAATACAGGGAAAAGGATGTGACCGGTTTCTGGACTATTTCACTTGTGAAAGACAAGGACCTACAGGATTAAGGAAACGAGGAGGAAGGAGAGGAGGAGGAGGAGGAGGAGGAGGAAGAGGGGTGGGGAGATTACAAACGAGGAAGAGGGAGAGTGGGGGTGAGGTAGAGAGAGGGAAAAGGTAGAGGGGGAAAGGTAGAGGGAGGTTGAAAGGAAAGGTAGAGAGAGGGGGGAAGGTAGAGGAGCGGGAAGGAAACGAGGAGGAAGGATGGACGAACGAAACGACAGTAGAGGAAAAGATGAAAGGTGTCTGTGAAGGATCTGTGGACCATGCATGCACTACGGAAGACGGTCAGCAACAGCAGGCAGGAAGGAGGGTGGGGCAGCAGCAGCAGAAGCCCGAGAAGGAGGAGGAGGAGGAGGAGGAGATTGGAAATGACAATAGGAGGAAGGAAGACGGAGAGGAGGATGACTGAGGGATGCCATGCCGGTTCGTGCAACTGCATGTGGATTGTTTTGCGTTTCCGATTCGTTTCCTTGATATTATTTTTCTTTTCTCTTGTTAATAATAAATTGCGTTTTTTAACTGATGTACTTACTGTAGTTAAAAAAAGAAAAAAACACGTTAAAAAAAGAAAAAAACACGTTTATGCCGGGGTAAGGTTACCTGTAGCATCTCCCTGCGCCGTAAGAAGGGGAAGAGTCTGCGGATTTTATCTCTAGGGTGGATGCTACCGTTCTTAGCGCGCAGATACGGGTGGATCCAACCCAATTAGTAAAAAAAAAAAAAAAAGGGTCCCCTCTTTGTTTGGTATAGAATGCTTGTACGGTTTTGATCTACCCAAGCCCAACACGAAAAAGAGCATCTAATCTCAACGGCCTAAGATAATTTGTCCAAGGGGATATAATGATGATGGAGCATAGATGCACTGCACGAGATACAGGAGAGCCTCAGAAAGGAAAGGAAAATAAAAATGGAAATTTGGACTAATTAATTGGAAATGAAAAATTACATGGGAGGAAAAAAAGCAAGGGAGAGG